CAGGGGGGTGGGGTTGTTGTCAGAACGATGGTCCCAGCAGATGGACCAAAGCCATCACAGCTGTCACTCCCCGTTACCCACAGCTGCGGCTGGCGTGCTCCCCCCGAGCCCCCCCGTCCACTCCTCCCATCATACAGAGGGTCACTTTTACCAGCCTCCTCCCCCCCACCTCCTCAAATATCACACCCCATGGATTGTCCCGTCTCACTGGAGATCGGGGGGCTCATCCAGGCTGTCCCAGATTCGGGTCCGCTCAGGAACCTCAGACTTTCGGATCGCTTGTAATGGCCGGGCTGACCATCCTCTTCCGCGTCCTCTATGGGGGGTTTCTACATACCAGCCCAGGTCGTCTGCTAGACGAGCGGCAGCTTCAGGACCGTCGCAAAGGTATCACCGGGCCACCATCACCGCGTGAGTGCCACCGAGCCTGTCACAGATTGCCAGGTGACCCAAGACTGACACATGGCTTCATGAATATGCACACATGGGCGAGGACTTCGTGCGGGATGCGGAGCGTTATCCAGGTTTCGGCGGGATCTGTCCACCGCATGCGCAGTCGGAATGGGACTCATAATTAAAATTAGCTCCACTCTGCGGTAGGCAGATTATCCAGTCCACACTGCAGAGAGTTCACTAGGTCCGGTTGCTGTTATCTTTCAGGAACAGAAGCCATTTGCATCGGAAAAACCAACCAGTATGTTATCCATTTAAAAAGGGGGGAAAAAATCACGTTGAGTCATAAGATGATTATAGCGGTTATAGAACAACATGGTTACGGAAATGGCTTTTGGTATAGCCACTGTGAAGCAGGTGAAAGATCACTATGTGACACGAGCTTGTTTGCGTGCGTTCATGGTGTTGCAGAGTTGTGGGGGGTTAGTTATGCACTGGGGCGTCGTCTGTGTGTTCACTGGAGGTCTGAGCAGCCCAATCACACTGGAGTATTAGCAAAAAGGGTGGGATTGGGGCCCAGAGGGGTGCAGATTCCCTCCACTTTGCTTCCATCCGATTGGTCCGTTGTCTGGAGACCAGCAGAAGCCCGACCTATTACTACGTGTGTTTGCACAAGTCCTGATGGTGGGATGAAATCGCGTCCTACAGCCCACGTTATTTATACATCGTGGGGGGGAGGGTCACGCGGGGCTTTGTCCCAGAAAGCCATGCCTCTTGTGAAACCTTGTTTCCACGATTGGGGGGTGGGCGCCCCCCGCAGGTGACATACATGCCTCGTCTCGGCGGGGAACGAGCAAGAGGGCACACTGTTAGTCACCGGAAAGGTCTCTGTGTGTGTGAGACAGCCGAGGTGGGGGGCAAAGGTCGGCCAGCCTTGCCTTTATTTCTAAATGCCAAATTATTAACTGCTGGCACAGATACACTGAGCTGTGCCGTCACTGGTGTGGGCAGGGTGTTCCTGGAATGGGGGGGGGTTGGGCAGGGGTCTTGGCCGAAGGCGCACGGTATGCCGGGGCGCCGTCTGCCACCGTGCATCAAAGCGGAACGGGGGCCGACGGAAGCCGGGAACAGCCCTGTGAACTGCCGGGGCCCCGTCCCCCTTCCGGCACCTTCCGCCATCCCCTGCCGCGAGTGGCAGAGTGCCGCCCCGCAGGGGGAGGCTAAATTTAGCCCCCACAGGAAAAACAAAACGGACAAGGGTAGGGCAGTACTGCAGTTTCCATGGCAGCTCGCTCCCCCTGGGCGGGTGGGACGTGGCGGCGCCCACGGTGAAGGCTGGTTCGGCTCAGCTGGGCTGGACCGGGCCGGGTCGCCTTGAGAGTGCCACCCACTGCGCCCTGCGCCTCCTTTCAGGAGTGACCTTCACTCCTAATGACCCGCTTTTGTTTGAACAACCAGCATTCTTACCAGGTCGTCTCCCCCTTGGCTGTCCTCTTTACTTCCCATCTTTCTTTCTCTTTCTCCCCATTTTCTGTTTTATCTGATTTACTTTAGGCAAGCGTGTGTGTGTGTGTGTGTGTGTGTGTGTGTGTGTTTATAGGTCCTCCATGGACAAAGCCTGCCCTTACTGACTGGTCATTATGTGGCTGAGGTTCGGCTCGTGCTTTTCAGCTTTTCAGTGCCCCTGACTGACTGCCAGGTTACGTCTCTCTGCCCCTGAATGAACTTCTGGAAAATTACAGATAAGTGACAGCATCCTGCTAGGGAAGCGTTTCTCGGGCGAATCCTGAGCCCTGAGGTTCCTTGTCATACACTGTTCCCGGTGATGGATTTGACAGGTTGGGGAGGGAGGTAGTCCTTCAGCACTGAGTGTGCAGCAAGCGGAATTCACGCTGCCCCTCGTCATCCACAGGTGAAAAAGGGACCGCGTGGTTTGTTTGAGGCCGGCTCTCATTCTGTCTGCGTCTCCTTTCGATTCGTCCCACGTGATGATGCTGCCCCTCTGGCTGGGTTTCTGCTTGATGAAGAACATCTCCATATCTTAAGTCTTTAAACTTTCTGAAGCATGCCAACATCACAGGCCTAACCCGGATAATTTGAGGTGATGACACTGCGAATATACATGGCTTAGTCGTGATGATATGATCAGGACAGTAGAGGAATTGATTTCAAGTGATGTCCCTTTATGCATAGCTCCAGCGCTCGTCCAGGAGCCACGGCTTCTGATCTTGTTGCCCTGATGCATCCATCCACCAGCTGTCTCTGAGCCCTTCGTGACTTTTTCATGCAGGTATTCTAGGGACCTGCAGCTCAAGTGTTCACAACCCGACCAGCCCGTCTCCCTCCTGCGATCCCCCCCTCCATCGCCCTTGGTGGTGGTGTGATGCTGATGGAATGAGGGACGGAGGACTGTCTGGGAGGAGGCCGTTGTGCTCCTCGAGGAGTCATTAAGGCCCCGTGGGAGGTGAAGGTTATACTGAGCCACTCCTACCCTGCGTGGTTTTCAGAGATGGTGGCACATACGTCACTCTGCACACTCCCCAGGTGCACAGGAGCTGTGTGTACCGGCTTTTTTGTTTTTGGGGAGGGGGGAGGGAAGCATAATAGTGGTTCATGACCTCAGTGGGGCTGGATTGGCCCCCGTCACACACTGACCCTGATCCCAAAGCCTGTCAGCTTTGCCTCAGGTGGACTCTTTGAGTTACGGAGAAGTGTGGCTGTGACGGGTTGCCAGATAACACAGGATGATCTCCGGCTCGCAGGGCGGTGCCTGCTGGCTGCTGTTTATCCTTGTTTAAAGCTTTTACTGAGAGACACCATCACTCCCAGTAGAAACTGAGAGACACTGAAAGATGGGGATCAGTCTCCTCCCCAGATTATGCCGCCAAGAAGGTGTGAGAGTTCCTGAAAACCGGGCTCAGACTCTGTAAGCTCTCCTGAGAAGTCTGGCATGATGGTCACCATTGGGGGGTGCTGTTTGCCAGCTCGTAGTTTTTTTTGGTTTTTTTTTTTGAGCCTCTCAATACTCACCACTTGGTGCTGGAGTGCCGTGTGCCCATTACATCATCCAGGCATTGGCGGGGAATGGGGGGGGCTGTACTTCACTGCAGTCTCTCAGAGAAGCAGCAACCAAATGGCCCCCCTGGGGGGGCGTGGCACGGTGACACTGCTATCACCACGGCGACCCGGCATCGAGCCCGCCTGCTGACCCGCACACATGTCCGCTTCAGATTTCCCACGTGCCTCTGCTCAGGAGGCTGCAGTGCCGTTATGGTGGCGGCAGGAGGGGGGGGGGGGGTTTTTTTTCTGGTAACTGGAACTGACGTCAAATACTGTTGTTAAGTTTTCACAATTGGCTACCCCAGCCAGAGTGGGGGTGTGCGGGCTGGCGTCCGTTTGATCGGGCCGGGGCCAGAGTGACGGTTCGGCGTGCCATGTTGGCTGCCTCCACTATTCTTCACTATGAAAACTGGTCCTGGAATTCATACCCTGTGCTGGGAGGTAATTGATGGCTTATTTGAAAATCTGTTTTTGGGGTCTGGTCTCCGAGGGGGGGCTTCATGTTAGTGGAAATATTTCAGAATATTTTTTGTCTGTCTCCCGCAAACGATTTGCCTTATACAGGAGACCGGCAGCTTGGCTTTATTTTGTAGGCGCTGGTAATTTTCCTCTATTGTGAGGATGGGCAGACCCCCCCTCCTGCCACCCTGACCCCCCCCGAAGTGACGGGTGAGGGTGGGGGAGGGGCAGCGGTGTGAAAAATCAGGACCTGGCACCAAATGGCCCACCGGCCTGCTGCGATGTGTGATGTCATCAGGCAGCACGGCGCCCCCTCACATGATCTGACCCCACCGGTGCATTAAGGAGTGCTTGGATTTACATATTTATGGGTGTGGGTTGCCTGAATCGATACCAGTGCATCTCAGAAAGCATTGCTCCTTGGCAAAGGGTATTTATGAGGGTAGGAAGTCCCCCCTCCCAAAAAAAAGGAGTGCTATGAGGTGCCCAGCTCACCCAACAGCCACAGAGGGTTTATTTTCATCCCCATTCCCTGGCCCCTCCCACATCTGCGTGTGGCGTAGTCCTGGTCTCCATATATGCAGTATTGGTCCATCGCATTTGATGTGTTGTCAGCCCTGTACAGGTAAGCTTTACGAGAATAGCTGTTCGCTTGGAAAATAACTGCAAGCACTGACACGTCGCCGTTTCGGGTCTGTTTTTCACCAACTGTAAGCAACGTGTTCAGAAATAACCGGTCCGGCTTTCAGTCCACAGAACATTAACTCTGAGGTGGATACAGTGGCCTGTGTTGTACATGAGCCTCCCCGTTCAGCGGTCTTTCCCTGGGTTCGTGTGGCATTCTGATGGAGGGTACCTGCTCCAAACATTCGCAGAGCTGTCCCCCTCTGTCTCTTTAGGCCGATGCTGTTAATAAGGTGAGATGCAGGCTCTATTGGCAGCACAGTCTGCCCAAAAAACGCCCACAGCTGCCGCTCGCAAGCTCCACCGCCACTTCGCCTATCTTCCTCGGACTGATCCGCATTGCAGAATCCTCAGCCTGAAGTGTCATCTCTCTTCTTCCCCTCTCCCCCCCCCCCCCTCACCAGGGTTTCGCCGAAATGAGGAGGTGAAGGCGGTGGAAGTGCTGCCCATCCTGAAGGAGAAGGTTGCCTTCCTCTCAGGTGAGCAGGCTGGGGGCTAGATCGGTGGATACCCCGGTCTGGTGGCGATGTGGGGTTTGGCCCTCTTGCTACTGGGCTGCTGTCATGGAGACCAGGGAAAGGACGTAAAGGAGCAACTCATCAGAGAAACACGGCGTAACGCTCCCATCGCGATGCCTTATGTGGGGCTGAGATGCTTCCCAGCTGTTTGGAGTTAAAAATCAAACTAGTGGTTGAGCCCAGGCTGTGGTTCCAGAATAGTGCTTCCATTTTATAACTTTCTGTGTAATCCCTCCACATTTCTGTGCCCCCCCCCCCCCAAATCTCTGCCATACATCCCCAAAGTTGCAGGGCTTGGGCGTGATCATCCTCTCTGAAACGCAGAGGGACAAGCCTGTTCATAAGCTGTCTGCACCTCTGACCGTGGATAAACGCCAATCCTATTTAACCGCAGGCCCAATTAGCGAGGTCCGGTGTTTTCCCGCATCAGAATACCCTCATGGATATTGAACAGCCAGTACAGTAGCAGTGGGTGGGACGCTCTCTCTGGGCTTTTCTTGGTGCCGCGTGGGAACAGAAGCCTGTCCAAAAGGCCTCTTAAGAGATTTTGTTGTGAAGCTGAAAAGGCAGTGCATGGGCCCCCAAGGGAAGAGAGATATTTTGGGTTTCTCCAGGGATGTGGTTTAAAAAGCCCCCCCATCTCACCCCCCAGACCAGAATGCTCTCGGTTCCACCTAATGGAAACAGTTTGCGGGACATTGCCGTCGCTCATAATGCTGTTCGGACTCCCACACGCTCCAGCCGCTCAAGCCACAGACAATCCCAAAGTTTTAACAGACAGCTGGAAGTCGACACGGCTCTCTGGGCTGTCCCACCCGTCCAACATCCCGACAGTAGCAGTTTGACTCTATTAGCCGGTAGCTTGCTTCACACGCCAGCTCACCAGCATGTGGGCTTTCATTGGGTGGAGGTGAAAGAAGCCGACAGTGACCCGATGGCTTGCTTCCTTCACTGCACGTCTCCCAATGAAGAGGGAATCGTTGGCGTCAAGTCCTCTCCCCGACACGGGCAATAATAGGATAGAGAGAGACGTAACACAAGTAGCGTATCAACAAAGATGGTGTTTCAGCTACAGGAAACAGTATAGGGGTTTCTGTTTTTTTTATATGAAGTGGAGAGTGGGATTCCTTTTAAGGGGCCCGCAGTTTGACATTGTGCAGTCCTCGTTCTAACGAACTCCTATGGCTGTCAAAGGCAGCACAAAAATAATGACTCTGGATGAGGTCCAGTGCCGGCATAAGTGTCTCTTGTTCTGGTTGCTCAAAGCGGTCCCCTGCGCATCCCCCGCGTCCCCCCCCCCCCTCCGAAATTCAAGAGTATACTTGCTGTGTTTTTATGGATGTGCTGCTGTTATCAGGTGGATGCTGGGAAATGGATGGCGTAGCTCGTAATGTGTGTGTGTGTGTGTGTGTGTGTGAGAGAGAGAGAGAGAGAGAGTGTGCGCACATGCCTGTGTATGATTGTTAACATTAAACCCAGCACCTTGTCTCTCTAAATAACTCCCACCTCCAGGGGGCAGGGACCGGCGCGGAGGTCCCGTCTTAACGTTCCCATCTCGGAGTAACCATGACAGAATACGACCGGAGGACCTGCGGCGGCTCATCGCCTACCTGGCCGGGATCCCCAGGTAGGGTGCGGGTTGGTCATGGGGGGAGGGGTCGGCAAGCTCGTGCTAACAGGGGAGCGAGTGGGAGGATTGCTGAGACTGCGATTTTCCAGAAAGGCATGGGTTTCGCACCGGAGAACGTCGGTGACAGCCCTGATAGGGCGCCGTGAGGCTCGCATGCTAAATTAACCCCCCCCCAGTCAAGTTTGGGTGACAGCTAGCTGGCAGCGTGGGCCCAATTCAGAGATCTGTGTATCTTCCCTCCTACTGGAGAAGGGGGGTGGGGGGCAGGTAGGCAGGCGAGCAGGCAGGCAGAGAGAGCGAGTGCTTCGAAGGAGGGGGCGGCAGAGAGCGCGAGAGAGAGAGAGAGAGATGGGAGAGTCTCAGCTCCTGTGTGGCAGTCAGGCGACAGGTTCTGCAGAGCAGTTTGTTTCAGAGCATTGAGGAGTCTGCTTCGGTCCTGCTGCTGTCGTGGACACCGGTGCGTTTAGGGTCGCCACCTCCTGTCACATAGTCGTGGTAAGCTGGAGGTGGTTTTGAAGAAATATTATGAAGAACAGAGCCTTTATGAGTTTGTACCTGTCCTAAAGCAAATGCTCTACAGCATAGCTGTAATTAGTAAGTATGTGTTCTGCAGTCCTTATGGCCTTCCGGGCTCAAATGCACTGGCAGGCTACATCTAACAGTGGTTTTATTTGTAATCCCTCCCTCCTCCAGTGAGGATGTGTGCAAACATGGCTTCACCGTCATCGTGGACATGCGGGGGTCAAAGTGGGACTCCATCAAGCCTCTGCTGAAGGTCCTGCAGGAGTCCTTCCCCAGCTGCATCCACGTCGCACTCATCATCAAGCCCGACAACTTCTGGCAGAAGCAGAGAACCAATTTCGGCAGCTCCAAGTTCGAGTTCGAGGTGAGTCCAAGCTGGGCATGATGTCGGAGTCCGGCTCCCGTTTCTGGGGGTTGGGGTGGGGTGGTAAAGCACAGCTGTAAGTGGTGCTGAGTTTTAGTGCTTTCCAATTCATCAAGTCTGTTGTATTTTTATTTTTCTGTTTTCATGGAGGCTGATGAAACTGACAGTATTTAAATGTGTTTATGCTGGAAGCCAGGAAACATTTGGAGAGTCCCTTGGGTTTATATATATCCTTCTTCCTTGGCTTCCCTTCAGGGAGGTGTCATTCACTTGGATTTGAAGGACCTGGGCGTGTGGGTTTATTTTTTCCTTCCCTGTGCTGTGAGCGGTATTGTGTGGAGCTGAGACTCTGCCGTCCGTGGCGGGCGGGGGCAGCGACGATGGCGATGGTATGGCCAGGGTGCGAATACGATTGTGGGCGATGTTTTCCGTGACATTAAAATGCTTTGTTTTCATCCCCGGTTTTGGCAGCTCTGTTAACTGTACAGCGTCATGGGTTTGTTTGTGCAGATTTGAAATATCACCTTCTTTTCATAACACCTTTTTCCATAATTTCATGGTGATGAGTAATGGGCGGGCATCTGATCCTGACTGCGCCCTGCCTCGTGCCCTGTGCTTCTGGAAATAAGTGGCCATTGGATGGATGGATGATGAGTGACTAAATTGACTATCGCCTTACTTCTTCCTCTGTCAGACCACCATGGTGTCCCTTGAGGGCCTCTCCAAGGTGGTGGACCCCTCCCAGCTGACCCCAGACTTCGAGGGCAGCCTGGACTACAACCACGAGGAGTGGATCGAGATCCGGGTCGCCTTCGAGGACTTCACCAGCAACGCGTCGCGCATGCTCGGCCGCCTGGAGGAGCTACAGGAGACGCTGTCCAAGAAGGACTTCCCGCAGGAGCTGGAGGGGGCCCGGCGCATGATCGAGGAGCACTCCAGCCTCAAGAAGAAGGTGATCAAGGCGCCCATCGAGGAGTTGGACGCCGAGGGCCAGCGGCTGCTGCAGCGCATCCAGAGCAGTGCGAGCAGCCATGCCGGGTCAGGCTCCGCCAACGCCGACACGCAGGGCCTGGTGCCCAAGATCACCGCCCTGCTGGACAAACTGCACTCCACGCGCCAGCACCTGCATCAGCTGTGGCACGTGCGCAAGCTGCAGCTGGACCAGTGCTTCCAGCTGAGGCTTTTCGAGCAGGACGCCGAGAAGGTAACTGCTCCCCTTGGGTGGGGCGGCACCCTTCGGTTGCACCGCATGAAACGTACCGTCCTGCTCATTCAGTTTCTATCACTTCAAACGCTGAGAATTTTCGGTCGGTTCTCCGAGCACTTCCATGATAGGTGATCCGCCTGGCTTATATTCTGCAGTCATGTATTCTGGAGCGAACGCACTCGATGTGTCTCATGCACGCGCCGGCGCCGACGTTCCTGTTTCTTCTGTTGTCTGACATGCAGATGTTCGACTGGATCATGCACAACAAGAGCCTGTTCCTGGCAGGCTACACGGAGATCGGGACCAACCACTCACACGCCATGGAGCTTCAGACGCAGCACAATCACTTCGCCATGAATTGCATGGTAAAGGCACTCTTCTGGCGGGCGTCCCCTAAGAGCTCGTGTGGGCGCAGTAGCCTGAACTGCGGATTGAGAAACCCAGCCTTTGTGAGCTGGTGTCATGTGGCGCAGGGGCTAAATAAGACAACACGTTCGCTTTGCTTATTTCAGGTTAAGGCAGCATAGCTCAGGACCATGTGGTGTAGCTGCTGTTCAGTATGTTGTGGGTTTTTCTGTCAGTTATCTTGATGTTACTGAGGTGTCAGTCAGGATTGTGTGGAGATGCTGGACAGGCTGTTTGTGTGATGAATGTGGGGGTGAGCGGGGGTGTGTGCGCATTACCTTGGGTAGTGGTACTGTTGTGTGTTTGTGTATTTGTGGCCTTGAGTAGTGGTGTGTGTGTGAGTGTGTGGTTTCATGTGAGTGAGTTGGAGGGTGTTGACCACACACAATGACTGTTTCAGCTCACAGATAAGCCCCCATCTCCACAGCAATCAGGGGTTCGCGTGTGCTGACCTGATGCGTGTAATTACCCGTGCACACGGACACGCATGAAGTCTCTCACGCCCGCTGGGTCGCCGGCCAACCGCAATTGGTACAGGATCCACTGGCGTCACCCTGAATGGGAGCTTAATTCGGCTTGACATTATCTCACCGAGTCTGAGAAGCGAGCTGGTTTCCTTCTCAGTGGCGGAAGCTGCGTTTTTTTCCTGCAGGTCTAGATTTATTTTGGTGGTGGCACTTGTGTAACCGGCACTGAGCATGAACCGCACATCATCGGCGGTATCCGAGCTTTGGGTGATGCTGGCTGAATGACACAACATCTCACCCCAATGCACGCACACACACGCGCGCGCACACACACAGATGGAAGTGCTTTCAGCAAATCAGAGACACAGAATTATTTGGCAGGTTTGCAGTAATTATCACTGGTCTGTGTTGGTCTGTGCCGTGTACTCTGGGTGTCTGTCGTTTACTGTCTGCTCCGGTACTTATTGTCTTGGATTTATTGGCACTGTAGACTGAAGGAGGCGTGTGAGACTTTCACTCTGGTATGTACACATGACAGTACAATCCTGAAAGTTGTCATCAGTCATAATTAAATGTGATTAATGTGTATAGATATCCGACATTAGCTCACAGAGAACTCGGGGCATAGAGTTAACTTAAGCAAATGAGTCAAATCGGGGTTAATTGCCAGCTAGCTCCTCCAATCCCTTCGCATGGTCATTAGTGGAATCCCACCCCAGCTGAGGTCTGCCCTTCCTGTCATGCAGAACGTCTACGTCAACATCAGCCGCATCGTGTCGGTGGGGAACCGGCTGCTGGAGTCGTCCCATTACGCCTCGCAGCAGATCAAGCAGATCTCCGGGCAGCTGGAGCTGGAGTGGAAGGCCTTCGCCGCCGCCCTGGACGAGCGCAGCACCCTGCTGGAGATGTCCGCCGTCTTCCACCAGAAGTGTGATCAGGTGAGTGGGGGGATCGCCCTTCTGTCCGGGGGATCGTTCCGCCTGCTCCTGCTGTTTGGCTCTGCCTGTACGTCCTTCCACTTTTAGGTTTAAGGAGACAGATGTGAGATCATTCCAGATAATGAGCAGAGGATCTCATTGTGCAGGACGCATTGAGAATTGGGCCTCCGAGGCCTGTCCAGTGCAGTCTTGCCTACTCAGCTCCTCAGTGATCTGGAATTTCTGCTATTTTACATAGTGTCCTGTTCTGAGAATTACATCCCTCCTTGCCTCCAGGGCTTGTGCGATGCTTATGTAATGTACCGCATAGTGTTTGACTTGTTGATTCTACTGCTGGATGTTGGCAATGGATCCTCGAATGGTTTTTGGGTAGTGTCCCAGTTCTTTTCTGGTTGAGTTTGCTTGAGGATGTGTTCTCCCTTCAGCACAGTGCCAGTGGGGTTATCAGTCCATCTAGATGTTTGTATTTAACCTGCGCTGAGCTTCAAGAGGGATTCAGAAAGTGACCAAGGCATCTCTTTGACCCCACCCCACAGTACATGTCCAATGTGGACTCCTGGTGTAAGGCCTGCGGCGAGGTGGACCTGCCCTCGGAGCTTCAGGACCTGGAGGACGCCATTCACCACCACCAGGGCCTCTACGAGCACATCACTGCGGCCTACTCGGAGGTAAGAGCGCTGGGGGGTGGCCCTGCGAGACTGAGGTGTTTGTGATGTCATCAACACACGGTTCTGTCCCCCAGATCATTCTCCCTTCCCATAATCCCGTCCCCAACGCATTGCAGTAATAATCACAAGTTTCAGAGATGGTTGTCAGCAGCAGGGCTTGGCAGTGATTTCCGGACTCACGCCCTGCTCATCTTCCCAGGTAAGCCAAGATGGCAAGGGCCTACTGGACAAGTTGCAGCGCCCCCTGACCCCGGGCAGCGCCGACTCGCTCACCGCCTCCGCCAACTACTCCAAGGCGGTGCACCACGTGCTGGACGTCATCCACGAGGTTCTGCACCACCAGCGGCAGCTAGAGAACATCTGGCAGCACCGCAAGGTCCGGCTGCACCAACGGCTGCAGCTCTGCGTCTTCCAGCAGGATGTGCAACAGGTGGGCGGGGAGGGGTAGGGCGGACCTCTCGGACCCAGGCGGCCGGTCCCCGGCGTTTGCGGTGATGCTCAGCGCTGTGATTACCCGTGACGTGCCACCCCTCATACGACTCCTTCCCTGCACATATAAAGCTGAAATTACGCCATGTAATTTGTGACCGCAGTGCTGGGCTCATGTCGGGCTGGGATCGACACCCTGAGCGGGACCGGATCGGCACTGCAAGCTCTGTGTGGACATGCGTGGGAGGGTGCTGTGGGCGGCAGTGGAGGCGGTGGTTCGGGGGAGGGGAGGCACACTCCCTGGCTCGCTTTCTCGTTAGCAGGTCCGTGCGTAGGCTAGGCAACGGTTGCCATAGCAGAGGCTGCTGCGGCTCCCAGGTGCAAGGCACGTCGCAGGCAGCTCGGAGCCTTCCGAGCGGGACGGGGAGTCGGAATGCAGGAATAGGACCTCGTTAGTATGCAAATCACAAAGCACTTTGCCAAATCTTAAACTGTCTTTCCTGCGAAGCTCCCTGCATTCCGTCACCTTAACGAACCTTCCAGCCCTTTCCCAGTCTTGATCGACACGGTGAGCGTGTGTGGGCATTTGTAAGGGTTTGTGGGTGTTTCCTGTCCAGAGGTTCAAGGACTCTCATACCCACCGTTTAGCATTAAGTGGATGATGTGTTTATTTCGGAGGACCATCCTGTCACCTGAGAAGTGGCTGGATGTGAGAGCTCCACCTAGTGGCGGAATTACTGCATTGGCTCGGCTTTTTAGATCCCTTTAGGAATTTGTGCTGTACCAGCGGAGAGCTTCAGAGGATCGAGTTCAGTCACATGTCTGGACTCAGCTGGAAATGCACCTGCATGTTTCCACTTTTTTCCACCCAGGAACAGGCCATTTGGGGGGTGGAGGGTGGGGGGGTCTCTATGGAAACGGTGAAATTTCTGCCTTTTCCATGGTTTTCCAATACACCCCTGAGGGAATGCTAACTACTAAGCACCAGATTTAAACAGCACACTGTGTGCCACCAGGTGTTGGACTGGATAGAGAACCACGGCGAGGCCTTCCTGAGCAAGCACACAGGGGTGGGCAAGTCACTGCACCGTGCCCGTGCCCTGCAAAAAAGGCACGAGGATTTTGAGGAGGTGGCCCAGGTGAGTGTCAGGGACGTGTGAGAGAAGTGTGGCTTATAAAGGGGGGAGGGGGCGGAGGCGAGCTTGTGATGTAACACTGCGGCGCCCTTCGGCTCACCCCCCCCTTCCACAGAACACGTACACCAACGCCGACAAGCTGTTGGAAGCCGCGGAGCAGCTGGCCCAGACGGGCGAATGCGACCCGGAGGAGATCTACCAGGCCGCCCACCAGCTGGAGGACCGCATCCAGGACTTTGTGCGGCGTGTGGAGCAGCGCAAGGTGCTGCTGGACATGTCAGTGTCCTTCCACACGCACGTCAAGGAGGTGGGTCCTGCCTGCACCTTCCCACGTGCATGCAGACAGACAGACAGATGGTCAGTCGGACACAGACAGACAGACACAGACAGTCAGTCGGACACAGACAGACAGACACAGACAGTCAGTCGGACACAGACAGACAGACAGACAGACAGTCATACATTGTTCGTTTGGCTGCTTTTTGTACTGATGCTTTTCCACAGACCTCTTTGGTAGGATATGAAATTACTTGCCTTGCGAGAGATTGCCTTGTTTTTTATTCACGTCCTCTTAGCCGAACAGACTAAGTACTCACACCGAGGTCATGGCTCTACTGTGATTGTGGGTACTGACTGCGAGTGTCGCCCCCTAGCTGTGGACCTGGCTTGAAGAACTGCAGAAGGAGCTGCTGGATGACGTGTACGCAGAGTCAGTGGAGGCCGTGCAGGATCTGATCAAGCGCTTCGGCCAACAGCAGCAGACCACCCTGCAGGTCACCGTGAACGTCATCAAGGAGGGCGAAGACCTCATCCAGCAGCTGAGGTGACCAAGGGGCCCGGCTTCTCACCCCCACTGCTGCTACATACATTCCAGCCATGTTTCAGGGTCTCGGAT